CAAGAGGAACCGGTCGGGACGCTCGAGCTCAAACCGTGGAGCCCGTGGAGCCCGTGCAGCCCATGAAGACCCGTCTGACTCGTCAGTTGCTCTAACCGTCGCCTGAGGAACCTCTGCTCGCGGGACAGCTGCTCCTTGTGCACCGCGTGCTTGCGTTCGCGCTCCTCCAGGCTCTGAAACAACATCCACTGTTACTGCAACTATGTTCCAAAATACTGACAAATACTAGACTTATCCCATCAAAATGACGGGTAGATTGGGTTCTTAATCTTAGACTTCTTACTTTAAAGTACATTATGAAGAAACTTCTTGACAAAATGTATATATTTGCAACTGTACTTTGCGATACAGTTCTATCGATAATAGCAGCATGATATGGGTAATAATATAAGTTATACTGACAATAATAAGAGTAATATGGATAACAAGTACAGTTCTATCGATAAGCAACATAATATGACAGAATCACATTGAATTGATCATTGAATCGTTCGGGATAGTCAGCTTGAAATATGAGGACAGTACATTTATCTTGTGGAACGCGCGATCTGGACAATTGTATAACTGTAGGGCTGCAGGAGGCTAACAGAGGAGGCTACCTGACCCACAGTCCAAATTAAAAGAAGGAAGGAAGATGGTCATCTAGACCACAGGTATCTTCGACGATCAGAAAGTCACATTGATGGACTTCCAGGTGGAATGAGTCCCTAAAACCTGGGTCAGACTCCTAACGTCAGTTGTACTGTTGCCCACATATCTATTCTGCTACTCACAAGTTTGCTATCAACCCCTATACATTGCTACTCGAAACTACAGCGATTTTCAGGCTCCGTCTCAGGAGGATTTTGCGCGCTGTTCAGGCAGATTAGAAGATTACTGCCCGCAACGCTGGGATCTGAACACGGTGTCGAATATTCAGAAATATTAGTACTTATGGGAATACGAGTCTCGGAACGTTCCAAAGTGCACCGTAAACCGAGATTAATTATACCGAAAAATGTGTCACTTACGAAGCTGAATGACTTGATTCTCAAACTTCTAATTCTGTTTCGAATATTACGATGAAAGGTAGCTCGTACAACTGGCTTTTACCTTGATTATCATTTTTATATCCTGTTTGAAAATTCCATTAATCGCGGAATTAATTGTTCGAATCGACAACGGTTTTAAGCGAACAGAAAACGAGCGAAAAATTATGGAACTAATGGAAAACGAGGTTTGCTAAAGCTGCGGGATTACAATGAAGCTTCGGGTAATTCGCAAAGTCCAACACGAGATTCAGATAATTTAAACTTCTCCTCGGTGAAACGTTCGTTACTCGCTAATGAACCGACCTGGGAATATTATTTTCAACATTTTATGCTCTTTTGATTCCCCTGATTTCGATCGAAGGCTCGTTCAGGCTGATCGAATTACGTGCTGGAAATCTGAGAATTTTTCGATTTTGGACAAAATTTCTAATTGGTTTCATAGTTGATTTGTTGCATATGCTATTTGTATAAAAGACTGCACATTCTGAGACTCTGTATACGTATGTGTAGAATAATATTAAATAGAAGGTTAATGTAGTTTATTTAACGAAATATGATTAAATGCTATTAACTCAAATAGAATTTCAATATTATACGAATTACAAATCTCACACGTCTTGCTCGCAAAGCAATGAGCTCTTCGCTTCGCTCCGAAAACACCAAGCTTCGCTCGGTTACATCAAAAAGACAATTTTTTAGCAATCTTCATTACATGCAAGCTTCATTCATACCATGCGCAAGCTTCATTCGTATCATGCACCCTTGCCGATCACACAATTACATAGTACATACACACACACCACATACACTACCGTCCATAAGTATCCGGACACTTGGTTTCGTTACATAAAACATAGTTGAACTTTGTACGAAAGGTATTTAGGGTTATCATATCATTTGTAATAATTATTATTATCTTTTTCGAGGTGTCATAACGTAATAGAATTAATTTTTAAGTACAAATTATACAACGAAAGTGTGAAAGTAAAATTCATGTCCAGAAGTACAAAGTCCAAATTTGTGAATCTAATGAAACGCTTTCGATT